CCACCCCCCAGCCGCGCGCGGGGAGCTAGTCCCCGCACTGTATGCTGGGAAGTCCTGAAGCGTCTCCCGGGTGCGGAGGAGGAATGTTCGGGGTGGGGGAGGGGGGGGAGAGGAAATCCCCCCACCACTTTTATGTTAATAAGCTCGCGCGTCCTTTATGCAGATTGGCCAGGTTGTGACTCTTAGAAGCCAATCATTTCAGAACGAGGGTGGGCCAATCGAGATTGCTCACAGTCATTGGTCGGAGATTGAGACGCATGGGAAGAGTTTAAACCAAGAGTATCCGGGATTACTTCCCCCCGTCTCCCGACCCGCGCTGTGCGGTGCGTGTCCCGGAAGTGACGCACAGCTTTGGTCCGGCGACCGCCCTGCCCCCGCTTCCTTTCACTCTGTCGCTAGCGGTAGGTGGTTGTGGCCACCGTGCCCAGAAGGAGGCGGCGGCGACCAATGATGCCTGGGAAACTACTCTGGGGCGACATCATGGAGCTGGAGGCACCCTTGGAGGACACCGAGAGCCAGGAGAGGCAAAAGGTGCGCTGAAGATGGGCCGCGCCTCCTTTGGGGCTGCGGCGGCTTGGGCGGGGAGGAGAGCTGTCCCTGATAGCCTGTCACGACCGGGTCACAGCATCCGAGGGCCGCCCCTCGCGCAGCCCTGGTTCCCCGGAGGTCGCTCCAGGACCATTCCTACCTCCACGCCTCCGACCGGGAGAAGGGCGGCACTGGGCTTTGGCCCGGCACTCGGCTTTGGTTCTTTAGCCCTTCCCGTCGGCGCCTCCGAGATGGGCAGATTTAAGCAGATTTAAGCTCCCATCGACGCGGAATCTGCCCTTTCCTCCTCTTCCTTAAGCAGCCAGGCCTGTCATTTGGTTCTTGTTGGCCGTCTTAGAAAATGATTAAGAAAACCGATTGCCTTGAATGCGTGTGGCTCCTCCGTCACCCCGATCTGTGTACGGGAATGTTGGGGGGAGCGGCCTGAGGTTTACAAACCTCCATAGCTAATCTTGAGAGGCTTAGGGAAGAGGATCACCGCCAGCGTCGCCAGGATTTGGCTGTGATGGAGCGCCTGTGGGTTCTGTTATGAGTAGCTTTTACTGTTAGTATTTTCATTCATGTCACAAGTACTTATTGAGCCTGATTTGTGCCAGACTCTCTGCTGGGTGGGCATCAAGGAGTTTCCATCAGCCCCTCCTCTCAAGGAACCTGTAGAATCGTAGAGACCACCGACCCCTCCGCCCAGCTCCTCCGAAGAATGAGAGTTGGAGAACACAGCTGAGAAAAAGGCTGACATTTGACAAAAGAATGACTGTGTTCTGTGTAGCCCCAGAGAGCAGAACCGTATCACCTTCCGACCTTATCACCAGGGTAAGCTTGCCATTCTAGCCAAGCAGTCTTTTTTTTTCATTGTACTAAAATATACACACAAAATTTACCATTTTAGCTATTTTAAACCACAGTGTTGCAGTATTAAGCACATTCATATTGTTCCTCAGCCATCACCACCCTTCATCTCCAGGACTTTTTCATCCCTGTAAACCGAAACTCTGTGCCCATTAGACACCAGCTCCCCCTTGCCTCCTCTCTTCAGCCCCTCATACCTCATGTAAGTGGAATCATCTAGCAGTGCTTTTAATTTTGGCTCCTCCTGAAATACTTGTTTCTCTTTTTACCATCAAATCCTACCCATCTGTTGAGGTTTAGTTATGTTCTAACCACTCCGGTGTGTACAGATAATGTTATCCTCCTTTTAGGTCTTGTTCCAGGGCTATCTTTGTCATTCGATTGCCATTTATTATTGCACTTCCTTGTACAATTAGCTCATTTTTCCTGTGTATATCTTCCCCAAATGCTTCCCAAAGATTCTGGAGGGAAATGATGTATTTGTCCATTACATTTCACTATATTCTTGGAAATTGATGGCTTTCACATTGTAGATTCTCCAGAAGTACTTGCTGCCACACTGTAGGTTAAAATGGTAAATTTTATGTTATGTATATTTTAGTACAAATGCTTAGCTGGAATGGCAAGTTTACCTTGGTGTTAAGGTCGGAAGGTGGTAAGGTTTTGCTGTCTGGGGCTGTATGATTTGGAAACAGATTGGAGTACCAACTAATAGAAATAGTCCAAGATAACTTTGGTTTGGGGTTTGTTGAGCTATGGAGCTGGGCCTTAGGGTCTCAGAATTGTAGTGCAGGTGAGGAAGGAAGCCTGGCAGTGTATGCTGAAGCCATGAAAATGGTATAAAGTGTACATAGAGAACAGACTTAAGGAGCATCCACAGAAGAGGAGGGAGAGGAACCACTGAAGGTGGAGGTAAGAGAATAAGGAGGGAATATACAGTGTCTGGGAGCCAAGGAAGTGGAGAGTGTCAGGCACTGTGGATCAGAAGTGGAACAATATATTTCATCGCCTTGTGATGCTGCTGGGCTTGGACCTAGAGGTCTCACTTACCTTGCTTCAGTTCCCCGAAATGCAGGGCTGAGGAACAATTCAAACTCCAAGGCTGACTCTATAAATAACCTTGTATTTCTATAGAACCTATTGATTTGGGGAGATGTGGGCTAGTTCAGTTAACTGAAGACCAAATGATGTAACATTTAACTGTATATAATTTACGTTAATTTGAAGGTCTATTGTTTACAAAGCATTTTCACATATATTACTCAATTTTCACTGCAGTTCCTATTTTATGGATGAGAAAAATTGTATGTGAAAATGCTCTGTAAAAATTGTGTAAATCATGGTGAAAATTTTGGTGGTAGTAGTTTTTACTATCACTAGTCACTACTGTCTAATTTATTTTGAATATTTGACCAAGTAATTCTCAAGTGCTAAATTTTCAAATAATTGCTTACTGGCTGCAGATATTAAAACACTGGCCACTAGTCTGGTGTTTTAAAAACTAAAGTTGCAGCCCTGGCTGGTTTGGCTCAGTGGATAGAGCATCAGCCTGTGGACCGAAGGGTCCCAGGTTCGATTCTGGTCAAGGGCACATGTCCTTGGTGGCGAGCTTGATCCCGAGTAGGGGGCTTGCAGGAGGCAGTTGATCAGTGATTCGCTCTCATCATTGATGTTTTTGTCTCTCTCTTCCTCTTAGAAATCAATAAAAATATATTTTAAAAAAACAACAAACTAAAGTTGCAGCATAGACCTTTATAAATGGTTCTAGTAACTAAATTTTTAAAACTTTTTACTTACTAGGATTACTAATACATTGTTTTTCCACGGGAGTATAACAGTTGGAGTTTTACATGAATTATATAGTTTTGTTTTATTTGCTTTTTAAATTTTTATTTATTTTAAAATATATATATCTTTATTGATTTCAGGGGAGAGGGAGAGAGATAGAAACATCAGTGATGAGACTCACTGCACGCCCCCCCGCCCCACTGGGGATCGAGCCCACAACCTGGGCATGTGCCCTTGACCCGAATTGAACATGGGACCCCTCAGTCCACAGGCCAACGCTCTATCCACTGAGCCAAACCGGCCAGGGCTATTTTTTTCTTTTTCTTTTTTATTTTTTTGTTAATCCTCACCCGAGGATATTTTTCCATTGATTTTTAAGGGTGAGTGGAAGAGAGAGGGAAAGACAGAGAGAAACACATAGATTGGTTGCCTCTTGTAGGAGCCCTGACCAGGGCTGGGGGGCCGGGGAGGAGCCTGCAACTAAGGTACATGCCCTTGACTAGAATCGAACCCGGGGCCCTTTGGTCTGCAGGCCGACGCTAGCCACTGAACCAGACGGGCAAGGGCTGATTTGTTTTTTTCTTTAACCTGTTATTAATCAAAGTTCAGAGAGGAAGCATGATGTAAAAAAAATCATGGGTTTTCAAGTCAGATGGGTCTTGATTTCTAGCACTTCCACTTGCAGGAAATTCCACATGTGGGTCTTTAGAAGTTACTGACCTCTAAGAACTTCTGTTTCCTCATCTGTAAAATGGTAAAAATAATACAGGTTCGTTATCCCTTATCCAAAATCCCTGGGCTAGATGTGTTTGGAATTCAGAATTCTGGGGATTTTTAGAAGGGCAACACCCCAGAAGGGTTTTTAGGCCCCCAATCTATAATCAAACACCTTAATATTAAATATGAATATTCATTCTAATATAATAAATAAGAATTATAAATAGCCTCACATTAGTTCAAGTCCAATTTTGCCACCAAATGAGTTCAGGTCAGGTAAGGTTTTGTCTCCAAATAAGTTACAAAAAAACTTTCGGTTTTCAGAGCTTTATGGATATCGGAATTTCGGATAAGGGATATGGACCTGTACTTCCCTTATAGGGTTGTTATGAAGATTTAAACAAGATAAGCCGAAAACACATTACACAATGCTGGGTAGGTACTCAATAAGTATTAATATTTTTTTCTCTTGGAGATATTAGAAGGTTTCATGTTTTAATTTATAAATCTTGGGTTTTTATTCTTTTTTCTGCAAAAGAGTTATTTTAATTTCCTTTAAATCTAATGATGGGATTAGAGCCCTGGCAGGTTTGGCTCAGTGGATAGAGCGTCGGCCTGTGGACTGAAGGGTCCTGGGTTCCATTCAGGTCAAGGGCACATGCCTGGGTTGGGGGCTCGATCCCCAGTGGGGGGCGTGCAGGAGGGAGCTGATCGATGATTCTCATCATTGATGTTTCTATCTCTCTCTACCTCTCCCTTCCTCTCTGAAATCAATAAAAACATTTTTTTAAAAGCATTGATAGAACACATTAATCTTTTTTAAAAAATAATGATGAGATTAGAGAGGGGCTAGAGGCCAAGTCTTGAAAATGTAAAAGAAGAGAAAAAGCAATAGATGAGGCTAAGGCTTGGCATTAGAAACCAGCCTGGATGTCTGCCAGGTTACTTTTCAAGATAAAGGTATGTTGAGCTTTGCTGGTTGAGGAGTCATGGTCCAACTTCTGAGAGAAGAGCTTTTGACTCTCTGTCACTGCTGCTTTGTTTTTTTCACAGAGTGATCGAAGGAAGTCAAGGCACCATTATGACTCAGATGAGAAATCAGAAACAAGAGAAAATGGTGTTGCAGATGACCTGGATGCTCCCAAGTCCAAAAAAGCTAAAATGAAAGAGAAGTTAAATGGAGACACTGAAGAAGGATATAATACACTTTCAAATGAATTTTCTAAGTCTCATAAGTCAAGAAGAAAAGATCTGTCAAATGGAGATATTGATGAATATGAAAAAAATCAAAGCGAGTGTCATCCTTTGATAGTTCTACTCATAAGTCAAGTGATAATAAACTAGAGGAGGTATGGATGCTTTTTGTCTTGCATTTGACATTATCCTTGAAATACAGGCTTGTTGGATTGATTAGACGAATTAGAATTGATTTTATAATATTTTCTGCTTAGTATTCAGTACTCTGTTGGACCTGGGAATCTCTGCAGCCGAAACCTGAGCCTTTTTTCCTTTGTCCCCTGTTTCTTTTAAGGTATTGCCTCTTTGGGGCGGAGGTGGGGGATGGTCAGATTTAAACCTTTCCTGTATATTTGGGTTCGTAAACAGTTTTTCCAAATTGCTTATTGATGGTCACATGCTTGCATTCCTTGTGGTTATTTTGGACCCTACTAGTACTCATGAATTGACTTCTGACTTCCTGAAATAAGGTACATAAGCCCTCTTGACTTTGTGTATTTTGCCTTCTGCTTTTTCTGCTTCTATAACAATAGCAACTTTAAATGATCTTTAAGTCTTTGAAATTTAATCTTAAAGCTACATTTTTAAAAAGGAATGAAACATATAAAAATGATCTGAAAAAATCTGTTCTCTTGAATATTTTGGGGGAAGTGTAGAAAACATGTTTAGTATAGAATCTTCTATACTATGCTTTTGCCCAGTATTTGTTACAATAGATATTTTCTTGCATAGAATTTGTTCAGTTTGTTTTTGCAGTTTTTCTCTACCAGAGTTCATAGATTTTTCTAAGTATCATAAATTGTCAGTGATGCTTAGAAAGATGTTTAGAAAGAAACAGCTTTGATATTCTTAATAATTCTTGGTAATTAATAATTCTTTAAAATTTTTTAATCTGATAGTTGCTAATATAAATACATTTGAGCTTAATTTAATATGTAATCTTTGGGGAGCTTTGGGAATAGATGTTGAGTCTTTGTCTTACAATATGGTGGTTTTTTTATTTGTGAATTTGCTATTGGTCAGGAAACACATATATTATAAATTGATCTAAATAAGGCCCTACAAATCTGTATTGCTAGCAATGGACTGTACAAGTTGCTCACTCTATTGGGATTTTGCCTGGTACAATGATGCTGTGTATTATAATAGACTTAACTGTTTATAATTTTATTTAGATCATGTTAGAGTTCAATAATTCTATTTCTAGGAATTTATCTTTCTAAGGAGATAATTATGAGGTGTGCAGAAATGTATGAATAAGTACTCTTAATACAGGGACATTGTTGATAATAGCCAAAATGTAAACATCCTAAGTGTCTGATAGTGGGCAATTGGCTTAATAAAATATGCTATATCCATGCAATAGCATACGTCTATCCTAAAGGTCAGAGAAGAATGTTAAAAAGGCATTTAGTGTATCATAGTAAATGGGGAAAAAAGCAGATAACATAACAGTGTATACAGTATTGTTTTGTTTTTACTTTAAAAATTTGTATGTGTATAGAGTGAGGATTGGGAGAATGTCTGTTTCAAATGTGGCTTTAGCTGACCGGATTATAGATAATTTTTAAATTTCTTTCTGTTTATGTATGGTTTCTAATATTTTTACAATGAAAATGTATTACTTTTGTAATATGTTTTTTCTTTTAATCTTAAAAAAATGACAGCGTTGAGGTTTGCTTAATGACTTACAATTTGAATTTGATATGTCTTTTATCTGATTCCCTATTTGAAAATTGCTATTGTGTGTGGTTCTGGAACTACTTTCTTTAAACACACCAATAATAAAGTTTATGGGTAGATATATTGTCTTTGTTTTATATACACACAGAGTTTCTAATCTTAAATGATGTTATGCTAACCTGTATATATGTTAAAGAAATTTTCAAGCTTACAGGAACTTTTATTTGTATCAGTGAACCAAAAAATGGTGTTTAGAGCAATAGAACAACTTTTTAACTTATTTTTGGAAGCAATTTACTTTCCTCATGTGTAATTTCTTTTAGGGCTGTTTTATTGGCTGGTATTAATTCTCATAATAATTAATATTGTTTGTATCTGTGAATATGATTTAGATTTGGCTTTTTTGTAATATCTTAGTTAAATGGAAATATATTTTTGATTTATGTAGTAGATATATTACTAAAGGGAGTCTTATGTGTGAATTAATTATTTTTAAGTGTACTATGGAAGATGTATTGAGTAAGCTTGCTATTTAAAGGGATACTTTTGAAACTAAAAGTATTTCCCACTAATTTATCTTGTAAGTTAATCTATACAGGTTTTGCAAGTACTAACTAAAGTTGTTTTGTTAACTTATTTAGTAAATAAAAACAGTAAATGAGTAAAAGATTCTAAATACCTAGTCAAATATGAACTATATTAGTTAGAACTTTGATTTCATTTTGACAGACCCTAACACGTGAACAGAAAGAAGGAGCCTTCTCCAATTTCCCTATTTCTGAAGAGACTATAAAGCTTCTCAAAGGTACTATGAATTTAATGGATATGGAATTCAAAGTCTAAATCTAAAAACCAAATTTTCTGTCCAAAAGGAGACTATAGAAAGCATAAATAGTTCTTCTTTAATTGCAGTTATTTCTGCATCATCCTTTTGGTATTCCGATCTGTTTTTGACTCTAAAGAATTATATGTAATTGTCAAAAGTTAGACCATTAAAAAAAAGAATTCCTCTTTGGGGTAGAGATAACTGTAAATGTCACTAGGTGGTATCTTTAGGCAGATGTTGAGGAATCAGGATTACCATTTTCAAAGAAATGTATTTTTTTCTAATGCTAGTCTTATATAAATATTTCAACGAAATCTCATTTTTCAGGTCGAGGGGTAACGTATCTGTTTCCTATTCAAGTTAAGACCTTTGGTCCTGTATATGAAGGAAAAGATTTAATTGCTCAAGCACGAACAGGAACAGGAAAGACATTTTCTTTTGCCATTCCCTTGATTGAAAGACTCCAAAGAAATCAAGAGACAATTAAAAAAAGCCGCTCACCAAAGGTAACCATTATAGGAATAAAAGGTTTAAACATTAGACTAATGAAAAGGGAAAGAAAGAGTGTACTTGTTTTAAGTTCAAGTACCTCCCATGATAGAAAAATTAGCTCTGTGGCATAAAGTAAAAATTTGGGTCCTAAAACAAAAATTTGTTGACTTTTTTTAACATAAAAAAATATCTCAAGGCTAAAGCGAAGTAGTTATTGCATATGAATGTAATGTGTATGGATTCATAGACATCTTTGATAACTGTATAATTATTTTGAAGCCAGCATATCTGTTAGAAGTATTTACAGTTAGTATATTTAGTGAACTTCTCTTCTTTTAGTCATGACCTTTGCTTTTAAAGAATGAATTTGCTAAAGAGGTATTCATTTATTTGGTCATTCAGCAAATTATCAATTTTTATTTCATTGGTTAACTTTAAGAAGAGACTATAGAAATGATATTGCTGGTCCCTATGTTATTGGGGTACTGGAGATCTGTTTTTTTAAAATATATTTATATTGATTTCTGAGAGGAAGGGGGAGGGAGAGAAAGATAGAAACATCAATGATGACAGAGAATCATCAATTGGCTGCCTCCTGCACGCCCCCCCACTGGGGATCGAACCCACAACCCAGGCGTGTGCCCGTGACCAGAATCGAACCCAGGACCCTTCAGTCTGCAGCTAGGTCTGGAGATCTGTTTTTATAAGTAGTAAAGAACAGAGAGGACCTAGTTTAAGGTTCATAAAAGTGAAGAAGAAAAAAATCAACATAATTTGAAAAGATACGTGACTAATTAGTTTTTTTTGAGACTATTAAATGATATTGCAGTAGGGAAGTATCACATATATGAATATAATTAAGTCATAATGGTCTTGGATCAGGTTGGCCAACAGGCCAAATCTTTTTCAGAGTGTTCTGCTCCTTATGTGAAATTAGGAAAGATTGCAAGTGATAGAAATAGGACACAATCCCAGCACTGCCTTAAGAAGCTTTTATGCTAGAAGCACACTACTGGAAATTCCAGGTCTGCCACTTCTAGCTATTTGATCTTGGGCAAGATTCTTAACTTCTCTAAGCCTCAGATTTCTCATTTGTAAAATTGGGATAATCCACCTCACAGAGTTTTTGTGAGGATTAAATTAGATAATTTATGAAAATCACTACTGAGCATTTATTCCACAAATATTTTTTTGAGTATCTGTTCCGTGCCAGGTACTGTTTGAAGTACAAGGAATACAGTAATTCAAACGCACATAAATCCTTGCCTTCTTGGAATTTATATTTTAATGGGTGGGACAGACAATAAATAAATAAATAAAATATGGATATCTTATATGGTATAAATGCTAGGAGAAACGAGTGAGAGGATATGAAAAAAGGGTTAGTAAGCTCATTGAGAAAGTGAGATTTGAAAAGAGACCTGAAGGAAGTAAGGGAAGATATAAATATAAGCTATTGTTCTTGTTATTTGTGCTGAATTTAAGTACCATGTTGAGATTCCTAGTTTTAAATACACCTTTAAAAAGTCTTCTCAGTTTGAATTTAGACATCTTTAGAAAAGTATCTTTTTGTTTTTTTAAACCTCTTGCTCAGGTACTTGTTTTGGCTCCTACAAGGGAACTGGCAAATCAAGTAGCCAAAGACTTCAAAGATATAACTAGGAAACTCAGTGTAGCGTGTTTTTATGGTGGAACATCATATCAAAGCCAAAGTGAGTAAATGTGTATGATAATAGCGCAAATATCTATTTGCTACTTTAAAAATCTAAAGAAATAGCAGGAAAATATATTTAATTTACATATTGCTGATATTTCTCTCCTCTCACAGTTAATCATATTCGAAATGGTATTGACATCTTGGTTGGGACCCCTGGTCGTATCAAAGACCATCTGCAGAGCGGCCGATTAGATCTTTCTAAACTGCGCCACGTTGTGCTTGATGAAGTGGATCAAATGTTAGATTTAGGTTTTGCTGACCAAGTTGAAGATATCATCCACGAATCCTACAAAACTGGTACATCTTAATTCAAAATAAGCACATTAGCAATTCTCTTATCTAAAAACTTATGAATTTTTTATTTTGTAATTTTTACGACATTGTCCCCAATGTTTTTCTAACACAACTCAGGTTATTTGGTATCTTTTCTCTTCCTGAACAAGAAAATACAGTAGCTTACTTTAACTATTTTCTTAGCTTTCTATGCTTTCTTCCATGTATTATTTTTAAAAGATAGTAGTTAGATTTACTAAATCAATTTATTGACTTCTTTGTGCATTCTTCCTTTTTAAATTCTCACCTTCCTTCTGGTTTTCTTCATATTTCCCCCCAGTTTTGAAAGTTTTAATAATTGCAATGAAGTTTGTATGTTCAAAATTCATCCCTTTTTTAGTTTTTCACTATTTCTTTGAAGTTTGGGGGGATTTTTAAGAGTTTACTGCATCATATTAAGAAAGCATTTGAATTCTTTTTGTTTAAGATGCTGAAGACAATCCTCAAACTTTACTTTTTTCTGCAACTTGCCCACAGTGGGTATACAAAGTTGCAAAAAAATACATGAAATCCAGATATGAACAGGTTGACCTTGTTGGAAAAATGACTCAAAAGGCTGCAACTACTGTGGAAGTAAGTAGCTTTCCAGCATGATAGATTTTAACTTTTAGTTGGTATTTTGAAATTTGTTGAAGCTAAACTTAAGTTTTGGGTACCACTTCAAGCCAAATCTCTTTTTTGCCCTTAGTCGATAAGATACTTATGTAATTCCATGTCTGTGACTGAGGAGCAGAATAGAATAAATAGGGAAAAAGTATGAACAGGCACATTCCAGGAGATTTAAACAAGCAGCCATTGAGACAGTTAATAAGTATGTAGAATATGACAGAGGAGGCGATTCATATCAATTTAAAAAGAATAGTGCTGGGATAATTTATTAAAGTTTAGGTGAAAAAAAAAGATCCTCATCTAATATTATATACCAAAAAATTTTCCAAAAGATTTTTTAGAAATTAAGGCATAAAATTATTTAATGCACATGTAGATGAACAATTATTTGATATTAGGAAAAGGAAGGGTTTTCTAGACAAAGTCAGAAGAATATATCATAAAGAAAAAGGTAGATAATTTTGACTTCATGAAAATTTAAACCAATAGTATGTTTTTTTGAAAAGGAATTAAAGGTAACATTTGTGTGGTTTATTATAGTCAGGTATGTACCATATATGTAACTTTCTCATTTAATGTATATATATGTGGAAGTAGATGAAAATAGTCTAAATGAACAATAGTAAAATCTGTAAATACAATGTAATGGTTAAAAAGAATGAATTTGAGTGATACAAACCAAATTACAAAGTGATATGTATAGATTCATAATATTAAAAAACAAAACACAAAAAATGCTACATTCTTTAGGTATTTATGTAAATGTACAAAGATAAGTTGGAAGGACAAACATCAAGTTCATAATGACTACTTCTAAGAAAGAGGACTTTTATAATATGGGATGGTCAGAGGAAGCTTTGTATATTTTGTAATGGCTGAAAGTTTTATAATAATGTAAAATGTATCAGTAAAAATTTATTAAGGATGTTTTCAAACATACACAAAAATTGGATAATATAAGGGATTTGATATACTTATCATCAGGTTTTAAGAAATGATTTTTTCTATATCCGATAGTCTTTCTTCATCCGTACATTTGAGTCAATCTGGTTATCATTTCATCTTCATATAATTTAATATATTTTTTAAAAGATAAGGGCTCTTTATAAAACAACAACCCAGAAAACTACAAAGTTTTTATCACAGTAGAAGAAAACAATACTTCTTTAATACCATTAAATATCTAAGGTCCACATTACCCTACTTGTCTTTTTTTTTTTTTTTTTAATAGTTGAGTCTGGATCTAAATAAGATCTTTACATTGCACTGGTTTGTATGTCTTAAATCTTTTGTAATCTGTAGATTTCCTCTGTCCCTTTTATTCCTTGCAATATTTTTTTGAAAAGAACTGAACAGTTGTCTTACAAGTTTTCCACAGTCTCAATTTTATTGGTTTGCAACCCTGTAGTGTTATTTAACATGCTCCTCTGCCTTCATTTTCCCTGTGAATTAATGGTTAGGTTGTGAGACTTGATCAGATTCAGGTTGTTTTCTTCTTTTTTTTTTTTTTTTTTTTGGAGGGGGGGGTGGGGGAAGCAACACTTTGTTGTAGGTAGTACAAATGATTCTTAGCTTTCTTCTGTGTGCTCTGTACTTATATGTTACATTTTAAAAAGTTTTATTGAGGTATATGTTAAAATGCACAGATTTAAAATGTACAAATAGTATAAGTTTTTTAACATGAAATTTTATAAACACAACAAAAAGTTGAATTTCACAGTGGACACCATATATTCACCGACTGCTGGAGTCTGTCATTAACATTTTACTATATTTGCTTTGTCACTTATCTACCATTCCCTATATCCATTTTGTTTTTTGATGCATTTCAAATTGCAGAAATCAGTATATTTCCCCTTAAGTATTTTAGCATGCATGTCTTTAGAACTCAATATTTACAAATTTTTTATTGAGACAAAATTCTAATAACTAAATTTAATCTTGTAAAGTGTGCAATTCAGTATCATTTAGTACATTAACAGTGTTGTACAACCATCTCTTCTATCTATTCCCCAAACACTTCATCACCCCAAAAGGAAACCTGTAACCATTTAGTAATTAATTTCTCCTTCCTCTAGCAACTGCTAATCTGCTTTTTGTCTCTGGAGTTACTTATTCTGGATATTTCGTATAAATGTAATCATATAATATGTGACTTTTTGTGTGTTTAGCTTCTGTCACAGCATGTTTCTGAAGTTCACCCATATAATATTTACAGTTTTTAAAAATATGATTTACATGCAAAAAATTGCAAACATTTAAACATACATTTGTTTGTTTTGCCCAGTTCATACAGGTGCATAAATCCCTATCAAAATATAGAATATTACCATCATCCCAGGAAGTTCCCTCATGCTTCTTCCCAGTCTCCTATACTTAGGCAACCACTGTTGTGATTTTTTTCTACCATAGATTAGTTTTGTTTGTTTTAGAACAGCATATAAATGGAATTATAATATGTATACTCTTTTTTTCTAAAAGGCTTCATTCTCCCAGCATATGTTTTGAGATTCATCCATAATGTTGGATGTGTCAGTAGTTGGTTTCTCTCTCTGTTTCTCTCTAAGTTGGTTTCTTTTAATTACTGAATAATACTCCATTGTATAAAATATACTACAGTTTGTTTATCCTTTTGCCTATTGATGGCCATTTGTATATTGTTTTTAAATGGGATTGAGGAGAATCATTGTCTTATTGTCTCCCAGGAAGGCCAATTCTTGAACAGATAGGAAGAAAAATGTACAAGAGAAATTTTTTTTAATGAAACATATTTGGCATTTTCTTTCTTCAAAGCATTTGGCCATCCAATGCCATTGGTCTCAGAGGCCAGCAGTTATTGGAGATGTCCTTCAAGTCTACAGTGGGTCTGAAGGGAGGGCTATTATTTTCTGTGAGACCAAAAAGAATGTAACTGAAATGGCCATGAATCCGCACATAAAACAGGTAAGTCTTTTTTTCATGGTTTCTCTAATTGAGATTACATGTGTGAATCACTCAACAAAAAATCATTGTCATTTGTGGTCCAAGTTTGATAGTCATTTTAAAATATATTTTTTATTGATTTCAGAGAGGAAGGGTAGGAGAAAGAGAGCTAGAAACATCAAAGATAAGAGAGTCTTATTGAACGGCTGCCTCCTGCACACCCCCTTCTAGGGAATCCAATCCTCAATCAAGGCATGTGCCACGACTGGGAATCGAACCCTGACCTCCTGGTTCATAGGTCAGCGCTTAACCACTGACTCACACCAGCCAGGCTTAATAGTCATTTTTAGAATTGGGTCTAATTCAGAAAGAAGTTGTAGTCAGCCTCAAATGATCTGGTAAGTTAGGATAAAATTCTACCCATTTTCATCAGGTTTTTTAAAGATTTTGCAGATGTGAGCTTGAAAACATAGAGGTAGATGCCCAGCCAGCGTGGCTCAGTGGCAGAGCGTGGACCTATAAACCAGGAGGTCACAGTTCGATTGCCAGTCAGGGCACATGACTGGGTTGCAGGCTTGATCACCAATGTGGGGTGTGCAGGAGGCAGCTAATCAAGGATTCTCTCTAATCATTGATGTTTCTCTCTCTCTCTCTCTCTCTCTCTCTCTCTCTCTCTCTCTCAGTAGTTGGTTTCTCTCTCTGTTTCTCTCTAAGTTGGTTTCTTTTAATTACTGAATAATACTCCATTGTATAAAATATACTACAGTTTGTTTATCCTTTTGCCTATTGATGGCCATTTGTATATTGTTTTTAAATGGGATTGAGGAGAATCATTGTCTTATTGTCTCCCAGGAAGGCCAATTCTTGAACAGATAGGAAGAAAAATGTACAAGAGAAATTTTTTTTAATGAAACATATTTGGCATTTTCTTTCTTCAAAGCATTTGGCCATCCAATGCCATTGGTCTCAGAGGCCAGCAGTTATTGGAGATGTCCTTCAAGTCTACAGTGGGTCTGAAGGGAGGGCTATTATTTTCTGTGAGACCAAAAAGAATGTAACTGAAATGGCCATGAATCCGCACATAAAACAGGTAAGTCTTTTTTTCATGGTTTCTCTAATTGAGATTACATGTGTGAATCACTCAACAAAAAATCATTGTCATTTGTGGTCCAAGTTTGATAGTCATTTTAAAATATATTTTTTATTGATTTCAGAGAGGAAGGGTAGGAGAAAGAGAGCTAGAAACATCAAAGATAAGAGAGTCTTATTGAACGGCTGCCTCCTGCACACCCCCTTCTAGGGAATCCAATCCTCAATCAAGGCATGTGCCACGACTGGGAATCGAACCCTGACCTCCTGGTTCATAGGTCAGCGCTTAACCACTGACTCACACCAGCCAGGCTTAATAGTCATTTTTAGAATTGGGTCTAATTCAGAAAGAAGTTGTAGTCAGCCTCAAATGATCTGGTAAGTTAGGATAAAATTCTACCCATTTTCATCAGGTTTTTTAAAGATTTTGCAGATGTGAGCTTGAAAACATAGAGGTAGATGCCCAGCCAGCGTGGCTCAGTGGCAGAGCGTGGACCTATAAACCAGGAGGTCACAGTTCGATTGCCAGTCAGGGCACATGACTGGGTTGCAGGCTTGATCACCAATGTGGGGTGTGCAGGAGGCAGCTAATCAAGGATTCTCTCTAATCATTGATGTTTCTCTCTCTCTCTCTCTCTCTCTCTCTCTCTCTCTCTCTCTCCCCCTCTCCCTTCCTCTGAAATCAATAAAAATATATGTAAAAAAGAAAATACAGAGGTAGAAATATAATGAGTTTCTATGGGAAAGAGTGGGTAATATTTTAGAGTTGTATTGTAAAATGAATCACAAATACTTAATGAATCAGAATACTAAGTCCATGTCTTTTTTCTTTTAACTTTTTTTTCTTTAAGCCTTATCCCAGGATATTTTTCCATTGATTTTTAGAGAGAGTAGAAGAGAGAGGGAAAGACATAGAAATATTGATGTGAGAGAAACACATCGATTAGTTGCCTCCTGCACGTGTTCTGTCCGCAGGCCAATACTCTATCCACTGAGCCAAACCGACTAGGGCAGCGGTTCTCAACCTGTGGGTCTCGACCCCTTTGGGGGTCGAACGACCCTTTCACGGGGGTCGCCTAAGACCATTGGAAAACACATATATAATTACATATTGTTTTTGTGATTAATCACTATGCTTTAATTATGTTCAATTTGTAACAATGAAATTGGGGGTCACCACAACATGAGGAACTGTATTAAAGGGTCTCGGCATTAGGAAGGTTGAGAACCACTGGACTAGGGGGGCTTTCTTTAACTTTAAAAAAATATATTTTTTTATTGATTTCAGAGAGGAAGGGAGAGGGAAAGAGAAAGAAAGAAACATCAATGATGAGAGAAAATCATTGATCAGCTGCCTCCTGCATGTCCCCTGGGCATGTGCCCTGACCTAGAATTGAACCATGACTATCTGGTTCATAGGTTGATGCTCAACCACTGAGCCACACCGGCTGGGCTTAACTTTTTATTATAGAAAATTTCAAACATGTACAAAAGTCAACAGTCTAATGAATCCCTATGTACTCATCCTCCACTTGTAACAATTATCTTATTTCATCCAAATTCTACTCATTTCTTGCTCCTAAATTATTTTCATGCAAACCCTAGAAAACATATGCCCATGTATATTTGGGAATGTGTCTCTAAAAGAAAAGCATTATTTTAAAAAACCCACAGTGCTATTATTATTTTTGTTGTTGTTGTTAATCCTCACCCAAGGATATTTTTTCATCAATTTTTAGAGAGAATGGGAGGGAAGGGGGAAAGGGAAAGGAAAGGCAGAGAGTGAGGGAAGGAAGAAGGTGGGGAGAGAGAGAGAGAAAGAAAGATCTATGTGAAAGAGACAGCGATTGGTTGCCTCCTACACACGGATCGAACCTGCAACCCAGGTATGTGTCCTTGACTGGAAATCGAACCCTGGACCCTTCAGTGCAGGGGCCAACACTCTTAACCATTTAGCAACACCAGCCAATGGCACAATGCTGTCATTTTTTAATTAACAGTAATTAATATCTTGAACTATTAATTAGCGTTCAGGTTCCCAATTGCCTCATAAGTGCTTTGCTTTTCCTTAAATAGTTTTTCTTGAATCTGGATCCAGATAAGATTCTTACATTGTGTGTTTTCATTAAATCTCTTTAATATATAAGTCAAAGTTCGATTCTGGTCAAGGCACATGCCCCGGGGTTGCTGCCTCGATATCAGTAGGGGGCATGGAGGAGATTCTCTGATTCTCTGATCACTGATTCTCTCTCATCATTGCTGTTTCTCTCTCTCCCTTCCTCTGAAATCAATAACAAAAAAAGAGAAAGAAACCAAGTTTCCATAAATAACCTAGTGTATTGCTTCCATGCGGTATCATTTAACATGTTTCTCTGTCTTCTGTATTTCCTGAAAATTCAGGTTTGTTTATTTAGAGAAAACTCTATCATTGGTGTATATTTTCATCAGGAGGTGTGTAAAATGTCTTGTGCTTTCTCTTTTTGTGACAACATCCATCGATAATAATGCCGTCAGTCCTTATATCATAGTCTCTTTAGTCATGTTTCTGTCTGTGACTAGTTATCTAGTAGATCCTGAAGAAAGACTCATGGAGACAATATTGCCTATTGATAGCTTGTTTATAACTGTATACCTGGAAATAATTTTTGCTGAATATATAATTATTGGTTCAAATTTTCTTCGGTATCTTAAATATTTTTTATTTTTTGAATAAAGCATACTAAAAAAGTCTGATGCCAGTCAGACTTTTTTTCCCTTATAAGTGATTTTGGTCTTTTGCCTAAACACAAAAGACTTTTTTCTTTAAAAATCAGTAGTTATACTAGAATATATTTTGGTGTTGCTCTTGGTCACTTTTTCTGGGTACACAACCAATGTACATGTGCAATTTGTAGTTCCAAATATACATGTTTTTAATTTCAGCAACATTTTTTTGAATTATAATTTTTTGGTATTTGGTTTGATTGCTTTGGAGTTTTTCTTTAGGAACTCTTGTTGGCATTGGCTCTTCTTTTCTCTCTCTTTTGTCACTTAATCTCAAATTCTTTTCATCTTCAATTTTTAAGGCATCATCTATCCTGTTTAGTTAGTCTTATATTCTAATACTAGTGGCCCGATGCACGAAATTCGTGCGGGGGGGGGGGGGGGAGCTCCCTCAGCCAGGCCTGTGCCCTCTTGCAATCCGGGACCCCTTGCTCCTAACCACCCGTCTGCTCACTCCTTACCACTTGACTCGCTGCTCCTTAGCGCTGCTGTGGAGGCAGGAGAGGCTCCTGCCACCGATGCTGCGC